CGTGAGGTTCAAATACGCCTCCGCTCCCCTTGCTGAATGTGGCACAGTGAGCGATTCATGGCCCTGGGCCCTGGCTTCATGATCTCTTATGGATGCTGATATGCAATGAACGATGTCATTTCTGGAGTGAATCACACACAGCTGTCTACGGATTGTGTCATTTATGTTATGCTGACGTTCGAATTGTATCATCAGCTGGCAAAGTGTTCGCCTTGACATGCGATGTGGTTGAAATATGCGATGGCGAATGCAAATCGCCTAGCGTCATGCATTCACTAAGGAGAGATCGAGGGAGCACTCCGGTGTTGAAAAGCTGCTGTGGCACGCAATAGTTCTAATATTTCTCCTATCAAATAGCACATGAGCAATATAATTCATGCTGCAATTTACGACGGAAACCCGAAATCAAGGCAAAAAAGTAGAAGTCGAGTAGTAAGAAGTGAAGAGAGTTGCTGTTGTCCTACGGCAGCTTTTTCCTTCTGATGAAAAATCGTATTTTTACAAGAATATCCCCCATATCGGGGCTGCTTACCACGCGAGGGATCCTGGTGTAAAATCCCGTTCAAGCTTTTCCAAACGTTTTATCAATCACGAGGTCTCGTTATTGGTAAAATTGCTCTGAACGGGTAAAATTACTGCCTCGTACACCGCTGAGTCATTGGTTAGAGCAAGCGAATCTAAATGCCGCTACATGGAAGTCAAACGGAAGGAGCTGACAAAAATGGTCTATTCAGAACAGTGTGTTATATGCTTTCTTTCCGAATAATGGTCATGGTTAGATCCAGTGCGCCCTCAATAGCGTGGAAATTTGACTCAGCGTTGACCACCATCACATATCCTTCCTCTGTTGTTTCTACTTACAAGTTTAATTAGTGGTATTGCTAAAATGCAGCTCCAGTGGCTTGTGGTAATTACTTGGGTTGAATTTCACTTCCCGTCTGGCGTGAAGATCATAATCTTGTCACTTCTCTTTCTTTGCTTGGATGCAGTGGAGAGAGGGAGAAATGAGGCAGAATTTTGACATGTCTCTCCGCAAGCTCTGATCGAAAAAATAGGCATTCAAGAAAATGCTGTGTGGGTTTTACCTCCTACTTCAGTTGGCATTCTTTCTTTTGATCACAAACATTGATCTTCTCTTTGGAGCTCCACGATGTCATTCTACTTGATTTGAATTTTCGAAGTGTTCTCATCAGATTTTCCACCTGGAAAGCTCCTGTACTATCACCCATACTTCGAGAGCAGAGGTTCTACACATCAATGACCTTCTGTCGGGTCTGAATCATTGCGGGAAAAGAAAGGTTTTGGGAAACCTCATTGTGACATAGCCAGGCCCCACTCATTTTATTTGTCTATCATTTCCAAAGACAAATTACGCGAAACCATTTCATGGTCTGGACTCTGTTCTCTCTGGGTGCAGGTCACTTCTGATAGTATTCGTCGTCGTGTCTCCACCTAACTCCTTGGAACTCATATTCAATCCTCTGAGAAATACCGGGATACTTTTTTTGTTCCTGATGAATTGCACATTTCAAAGGTATTTGGAGCATAACAGCTTATACAGGTCCACTTACTGTGTTGGCAAAGATTTGCTATGAAGGGAATTTGGAGAAGCTGCCAAAATCCGAAACGTGAAGTGAAATGTTGAAATACACCACCCTTTTTCTTCGCTTATACCCCTACATACAACTTTTTCATCAAATAAAAGTCTTTTCAGTGCTCAGTTCCTTTCAATGACGGCGAGATCTGTGTGATCGCTTCCGAGTTGGCACGTTCTACACCCAGCATGTTTCCAATGCTCAGAATGTGCCACGCTACTCGTCGATCTTATCTATTTTTCTCACGATGGAAAGGTAAGACAAAAAACAGGCTATGAAACAAACCCCGCTCCAAGCAATTTGTCTTTTTTCCCCGCTTCTTTCTTTAATTGATGATTTCCAGGTATTTTGTGGTCGGCATCATGCTGAGCAAATTAAACCGAGATGCGCTCGATGTGACGAAGTAAGTCTTTCTGATGTTTTTTCTTCGGAACCGCACATTCAAAAGCGCGAGATAGCGGTATTTAGTACTAGAGCAAAAGGCGTGAACAAACAAACACCTGCGTCGATCTCGACACTCATCTTAGCGCGATCGCGATGCTTTGTCGTTGTGCTACGTTGTCGCCTTTGATCTCATCACTTCTCGAGACATCTGGCCCGGCTAGCGCTTATTTTCCCGCAATGATGCGTATCGCATCGCAACACGTGCGCGTACTGTTTATATCGACGAAATTGCGGAAGTTTATGTGGCAGCGTAGCACGTGAAGTGCAGAGGGCAGTGACGAGGTGCCGAGTGTAGCGCAAGACCACTGACCCAGGTCTTGGGTGTCATGGGTGTCAGGGAGGCTCACCTCTTCGAGTGGCAGAACATCTGCTCTGATCACCTGCACAACCCACTTGTAGTGTCATTACTGTAGTTTCGGTGAAAGACGGTAGAAATGAACTCTTAGGATCGGCTAGGACTCGTCTTCCGAAATAGCTGCTTTTATGCTGACCATAGATTCCATTTAGTGTGCATATCCTATCTTTTTCTAACAACGGAGAAGTATTATCTAATGAAACAGATTGTACCCTTTAATTATGCTGCCGAGCGAACGAGCCCACAGATGATTATACGGTAGCCAGCCCATTTCTAGGGTGGCCACAATTACGGTAACAAGATAAAGTGATCATAGAAAATCTATGCAGCATGTAACTGACAGTTGAAAAACATAGCTATATTAATTGAAAGTTATAAGTTAAGAAAGAACTTATAAGTAAAGAAAGAAAAAACAGGGCTACTTTCCAAATTGGCTTATGTTGACGTTGACAAAGGAGCGAAGTAGTCCGTGCAATCCATTCACCGCAGTGTGTTAGGGTAAAGGGCGAATTCACCCTGGGCAGGAATTTAAAAATTGGGCCTTTTCACGCTCGTGGGCCTTATCTTGAGAGACTTTAGCCTTCATTTCGAATTTGACTCAATTTGATTTTGAGCATGCATGCGGCTGCTCTTGTTACCGTAACTTGTGACCACCCTGTATTTCTATAGTGACAAATGGGTTTTCTCTTAGGCACTCCAAAGGACTATTTCTTTACTAAGAAAGGTTTCATTACCCTGCCAGCAACAGTGGGCGCGCATTCGCGAAGTCCTCTCTACTTCGGAAATAAATATGCTTAAAATAAATATGCTCCTTAGCACGGCGACAGGCACGAAACTTTCTGGGTTAATTCCATAGGTTTCTTTAAATAATCTAAAAGGAGGATCCGGGTCTTTGCGTCTATAGGCTGCCTATTTAATCAAGAGGAAGGTTCAGATCTGGTTTTGAATGATTTGTCAAAAACCTTCATATATTGTTGTCTAAACAATACACAATCTGAAATGAGTGCGTTACGTTTAGTCACTCGAATCCATTTGCAAACTAGGCTTGGGACTAGACTTTGAGATCCCAGCTCCTCTCCGTGCTCTGTATTTTTTGATATAACAGCCTGCACACTAAGCTCTTATAGCTGGCTTCATCACAAATTTTCAACGCGTTCAAAAGGATGAGTTGCACGTGTATAGTGAACAAACAGACGCACATATAAGACCCCGCTCTCTGTCGACACAATCGCTCACAAGTACAGCTTCTTTCAGCAACTATTGAACGTGGGCCTCGCTGACGGCGATTTACTATCGGCATTTGATGCCGTTGATTGTTGTGCTTGGACGTAATTGATGCAACATGTTGCCTTGCTTCCTGTCCGCTTAGTCATCTGTGAAAACTCTTTCCAATGCGATTGATTTTTGGGGATATGAGGGTGGTGGCTGTTCCCAATCAACGCCTCATCATCCTTCGCTCCTGATAAGCATCTAAGATGACCAAAATGGCAATTGACGAAGATGAAAGCAGTCAAATGACAGCGCTGACAATCAGCATACACAATGCTAATGAGCTGCTGAGGGTGGCAGCTCACCGTATGGATCTAACCAGCAGATCATTAACGTATGCATGGGTTAAGCCATAAGATGGTCTCAGCGCATGTTGCGATTTCGCAGCGCCAGCAGTTACGCATTGGTTGCGTCCCGTCGGCGATTCAAGCACGTCTTTCGTCTTTTGCTGGCTCGCGGACAAAGCAAAACAGAGACAGCCAACATTCACCCGGTCGTAGAGAGGGTTTCACGCCACGAGAAGGCTCTTTCTTCTCAGGTCCATTCAGCTACCGAAAGACTGATTTCCGAACAAATGGGTGTGAAAGATACTCCAACTAATGGACCGGCTGAAGTACCGGGAATTGTTTTTGATGTTAGATACGTGAAAATTATATAAAGAAGAACGGCCGACTGTGATCAGGTCCTGTGGGATGCGGCACGCATTCGACTTTTATCTAGAAGCACCATGGAAGAATTTCAACCTTTCCATCCCTAAATCGTTTCGCTGAGAACCAAACTCCCCTTCGTATTGCTTTTATTTCCTCCACACGAATAAAATAACGTATGCAAAGCAAAAGCAAGGAAGGGAAGGGTTGTCTGAAGCGAACTCCAGTAGTGAGTAGTAAATACGTTGTCAAGCCGTTAATGCAGTCCTACGAACTTGGTGGTGGCAACTACCACTGCCAAAAAGGGTAGAATAGTATCTGGCACAAAAGAGGTAATTGATGAGCCGGCGTACACCTGAGTAAACCACACAAATCTGCTAGCAATTGCAAGAAATGGTCATTAAATTGCATTCCAACCATAGTGAGTACTGTAAGGGTAGGGTAACATGGGAAAGATTCCATTCAAGGACCGTACAGTGAGTAGCGGCGCTAGGGTGAAAATGAAGTGGGAGGGAGCCATTCCACTCTGCTCTGCTGCTCTAACGATAAGGACCAAGATTAGGCTGCGAATATCTCTAGTGGTAAGTATAAGACCTTCGATAAATTCAAGGTGACATTATGATGTGAGAAATCGAAAGGTGCTGAAACGCCTTCAATCTTTTGAGTCCAGCCATTTCTCTGCAACTTTCAACCTTTGTGGTGCTTCCTTATCCACCCATACCTCTTCTGTGCTTGGAAAAACTATTTCGCGTGCTTGGGCTGAGTACCGCTGTTCTGCATTCGTAGGCTGATCAGAACGTTTCTTATTTGCGAAAGGGATCTTTGCAGTTAATATTTTGTTTATGAAAACTCTCCTGAGCGCTATTAACGCATTTATCTTGATAGTATCGTTAGAGCTCGGAAGTGAAATGAAGTTAGCCGTTAACTCATTTTCATCACGGGAGCTAACTTTACTCTTACGGAGAAATAGATTTGCGGTTAAAGGCAAAGGTCGGGCTCAGGCACGCTAGAGAAGTAATTTCCGTGCCTGGAGAGTTGTATGTGGGTAGCTGCACACATTGCAGCAACTTCCACCTTGAAAAACCCGTTAAGGCCCCGGGGCGTTCGGTTTCAATCCAGGACCGCCCACCTCCGGAAGTGGTGCGTGGCTGGCATAACGTGTGAAATCAGCTAGGTGATTGCCGTATCAACCGATAGAACGACTGACATCTTGTTTGTACGTGCCTCTTTCCCAAGCCAGCCTCCTTCACTGCTAGTGGGAAAGAGGGTTTTGTTAACGGCCTTGTCGACGGTTTTTCTCAGTTTTTTCTCCACTGTCGTTCCACTTCGCATCTCTATACTCAGTTTCAATCGCCATAATACCCCCTTATTGAGCCCGACTTTTGCCTTTAATAAGGGAAGAAATGCGTGCAATAACTTGTTGTCGAGTTAAGCGCCTTTTGATCAAGCCAAAGCCGCTCACTTCGGAGATCGCTCACGGTACTCTAAATGGAAAGAACTACTTGAGAAAGACTGAGTTCGTATTTTGGAACATAAGGAAGTTATGTAGAACGGAATGTGGAAGTTTGGTTCAAATGTGAGAGTGGTATGAGGTTCAAAGCAGCTTGAGGAGCTTCGCTTTGATTGCTCTGAAAGTGGATTTAAGCGCAGAAAAGTAGGATTTGCGCAGCAAACACCCGTAAGTACCCCCACTCGCGAAAATGCAAAGTACTCGTCATCAAGAAATAATGATAGTCAAAAAGTGGTTCCACCCTGAATGTGAAGTAAGGATATTATTTTGAGTTCTTGACGGTCTCTAAATCATTTTCATTCAGCTGATCTTTGGTGACGAATGCACTGAAGCCGAGGGTCGCACATGGCACCATCATCACTTCCAGTGTGCGGATTTGCTCCAAGATTAAGCAGTGGCAGTAAGTACACTTAGCAAAGGTTTGACAGCAATGTCTACCACTCCTTTCTGAATCACTTGCAATTTATTTTTTCATATTCAGGACAACAAACCTGTATGCCTTGGATGTTTCCACTCCAATGGTTCTTCATCACTGACGTGCACGACTTGCAACGGTACCATTCCTCTCGACCAGCCACATATTTCACAGGTCCGTTTTTGCCGAACACTTTACAGCGAGCTTTTTCTCGATTGCTGCACTACATCAGTTACTTTCAGAGCGATTTGGTTGGCACGACGCATCAGCGGACGTGCTTCTGTTGCCTCAGGTTATGCTCCAAAATCTTCTTGTACGATAGTACGTCTCCGTCAAGCAAGAACCATTATACTTGGGCCTCAAGACCTGTGCGTGGAGGAAGGTTTATTAGGTTTTCCTTCACTGAATTTTCTGGCCGTAGATGTTCTAGGTTTTTTTTTAATCTGAAGTGGACGCTTTTATTCGAGGATTCTTTCTTATGTGATTAATATATTTTGCTTCAGAGAATTATTTCGAGGAGGATCGAATAGCAACGTCTTCATCACCGTCAAGGAAGATCCCACACCCTAGTGTCGAGCATCATCGGCGAAAACATCGTTCTGTGGAAGGACGAGCTGTTGGGACGCCCATGAGGTAGTTAGGAGATGAATTAATTAGGGTCATAAACTTGCGAAAATGGTACACCAACGACTCTGATCAGTAATTTGAGTTGATCTAAAATGGTGGTGGCTTTCGAACTAGCAAGGCTTTCGAGAAAATCTGCGGATTTTACGCTGAATCTTAAAAGGAGGAGACTTTTTCATCCCATATGTTCGTATTCAGTAGGGTTTTGAGCGAAAATCTTCACTGCGGCTGGCCAGAACAAAACAAAATGCTTCCCATCTTCATAGAAGCGCGGTGGTACATCTAGCAACTGGCTGGGTCCAGTGAACGAGAAAAGGTTCTCGCCCAAACGGAATTCAATAGATTTTATGAAGAGCATATTAGCAGTCGTTTAAACAATGGAGAGATGCTGGTGAGACACTGGCGAGAGATAATAGATCTTATTCGCTCTCTTTTCGGGCACAAGTTTAATCCAGTGCCATAACTTTTTCAATTTATCTGTAATTTGTTCGTTCCATCAGCAGATTTCTTTAGCAGGATTTGCATGGGAAAGGCGGAGGGTGGAGAAAAGGCGTGGGTTACTGAAGGGAAGAGCTTCAGGAATCTCCAGGAATTATTTTCACAGAATGCAGAAACCCCCTACTTTCAGAGTTCCTTCCTTCCCTAGGCCTAGACGAAAATAATCATTCCATGGATCAGAAAACCACCAAAATTCATGACGTAATCGTCCAACGTTTCAGAATCCCATCATCTCCAAGAGCACCTCGTCCACCGCAGCGTGCTCCACCACCACCGCCTCCTCCAGCGGAGAACATCTACGAGACGGTGCTGCCGTCCACGGCATTGCGAATCGAGAACCATTTCGAGCACGACGCTGAGGGACGATATACCCGCACGCCAAGCAAGACAAGACGGCAAGAGGAGCAACACGGGTACAGGTGAGCATTGTACAAGAACACGACCTTTCCACATCTTGAACGGGGACTAAACTACTTTTTGATTCCCCACCCTTGATGGATTTAAAGGGTAACTTCAAAGGCACACTCATGATCAAGTGATGTAGTTTTTGCACACGATATCAAAGTATTGGTGCGAAAGGGACGGCACAAGTATGTACAAATGAAAAGAATCTGTCAAAAACGCCTAATGGATTAGTCGCTGGAAAATTGCTACCGTATGTCCTCAATAAATTATTATAATTAGCATGAGACACGATAAGAAGGAACAACGAGAAATTGCGCTTGTTTTCGTAAATAATTCGAAAAACGGAAGGAATATTACGCGTTCAAATTTCCGCCGCACATCTGTCACAAATGTTGGCGACGAGGACAATTCCACTTGATTCTCAGGAGTGCCTTCACTAGGGAAACTTTCT